CCGCAAGCAGTTCGTACTTCAAAGCACATTGATCAGGAAACGTATTTATAAAAGTTTTGTGTGCCTTCCCATCTTCCATTTTAGAGCAGAAACTAATCTTTCCGAAAGCACCCTTCTGCAGTCCAAGTTAGAAGTATTAGCTAACCAAAAATTTTCGGAAATGTTTTTGCTACATCGGCCGTTTGTTTGCGAGTAGTAGTTTCGGACGTTTCCCAGGCAGAAAACACAATTTGCACCGTTGTGAACGTTCTACTTTTATGACAGCAGCTCCTGAGTTGCCGTATGTTCAGTGGTATACTTTGAAAGTGTTCACACACCCCACGACACGCTTGTCTGTCCCACGTAGTTGGTTTGCCCAAAATTACACCAGATCCGGTAAAGGACTACAGGCGTTTCCTGGCGAAGCAGTGGGTCTTTTGGTCTCATGACCTGCTATCGGATGGTTGACTCTGGCCTGTGTGCAACCCTAACTCAAAGTGGAACATCTGTTTGCTTATATCGTCTCTTACAAGCTAGTGACGTTCTGCTTGGTTGGTTTTTTTTTCAGGGACACCAAGATGGATCCAGAGTCACTGTTCGCCTATTCAGCCTACTGGGAACAAGCACGTACGCTCTACCGACCTTTCGAGTGCACAGCGACCATGAAGACCGGCAATGCCGACGTCTACATCAACGAAATCCCCGGAGGCCAATACACCAACCTCCAATTCCAGGCCTTCTCTCTTGGTCTGGCTGACCGATTTGAGCAGGTGAAGAAGAGGTACGCGGAAGCGAACATGCTCCTCGGCGACATCATCAAGGTAAGCTATCAGTTTCAGTTTATTTGGTGAAGGTAGTAGGCAGTGCCTTTATGGAATACATGGCGGAGCGTCGTACAAATTTGTACGCACAACGTTGAAGATTGTCATTTTAAATATAGTACTAACAACCTGTGAGTAACATTGTGTTTTTTTTAATAGCTCATATTAGGATTATGTGTGGTATCAGTTCCAGCTCATACATTCGAGGGACAACAGGGATACATAAAATTATCCAAGCGTTCCTTGAAGAACTTTAGTGCCACCGGCTCCACGACTAATTGCGGCAGTTTATTTTATTGTTCTACGGCCCGTTGCATAAGGAATTCCGTGCGGAGATCAAGCTTAGACGCGCGCGCTTAT